TTTTTTTTTTTTTTTTTTTTTTAGTATAATGTATAATATAATAAATAATCAGAAATTTTCATAATCAATTATATGGAAGACGTTTCTTTGAACATGTTTTTAAACGAGAAAGATTGTACAAAGGAAAATACCTAGCTCTTATTTTCTGTTATGCTATAACGTTGCTCTGCTTTATCCAAAGCTTGTGAAAGGCACTCCCATATGCTTCCTCGTCATTCCAGGTGGAATATGCTGCTGTTACGAACCTCTCGAATGAGTGGAATATCTATGAAGCAGAAGTAGATCGTCTTACAGCAAGTCACGTGCTTCACGTTATACCAACTATCGATACTGCGTCACTGTACGAATGTTGATAGGGATAAAGTGGCTTGAATCGACCGCGACGGATGATATCGCAAGCCAGAAGAGAGCCGTACCGATTTGTACCTTCGTTTTTCCCCTCGATTTCTCAATCGGCCTATGCGATCGAGACTCAAGTACCTCGATAGGTTCACTGCGTTCCGTTGACTTTACGAGCGTGAATATCCCTCGCGTGCGATTCGTAGCGCCTATCTTATCCGCGAATTACGCGGGTTCGGTCTCGGCGCATAGTTTCCGTTCGTGAGTCGCGGTGGAAAAACGCAGAAACGATACTGGCGGACATAAAAGTCGCGGATACGTTTACTGCGGCTGAATAAAATGAGCGGCTTACTGCAACGCTTTCGCGAGAAGGCGACGAATACAGCCGTGAGTGAACGTGCTTCCCCTATCCATTTGCGGAGCTTTACGAGATATAAACGGCACATAATTTACTATTATCCACCTAATTCATTATTACGCATTTCTTCGGCTGCCGCCCCTTCGGTGTCTCGTTTGCGATATCGTTTGTCTACGCAGCTCGCCATAGACTTGTGGAATACATTGCGCACTCGTATGGGACTGCTGATGACAAGATTGAGAGACAGAAAGATATGCAAAGTCAAATACACTCTCCCTCTCCCCCTCTTTTCTCTCTCTCTCTCTCTCTCTCTCTCTCTCTCTCTCTCTCTCTCTCTCTCTC